TTAGTTTAGAAAAAGGATATTCTATGATGTTTATTTGCAAATATAATAGAAACATTTTAGCAAAACAAAAACAATATTTTACAATTTTAGAAAGCAGCAATATAAGCCAAATATATTTTTAAAATTCTATACCCAAACTAAAATTGTTCAATATATATGAGTTGAATTTCATATTAAATAGCTGTGCCAGAGAAAATAGGTACGATGTTTCTGCCATTTGCCTGTTTCAAAATGTCGTTTACCTGAAGCATTGCGAAAACGTCAGTCCACATTACGTATACGCCGCATGCCCACTATGTTAGGGGGCCTAGGCCATCATTGAACTTGGCTGATTGCCCAGCCAACTTTCCAGCCATTGCATAATTGTCATATTCCGAATTATGGAGTGGCCGGGGCGGAGGTGGAGGTGGAGCCGGAAGCGGCTGCAGTTGCATAACCCGGCCGCCCCAATTTGGGCTTCGATCGATTTTAACGTACTTGCTTTTGCCATTGCCATTGCAGCTCATTTTCGGCCTTGTGGCGATGTGCGTGCTGGTGGCCAGCGCCAGCGAGGAGGCGCCCAAGAAGACCGTCGAGGCTGCCGAGCCCGCCGAGAAGAAGCAGGAGAAGCGCGGCATTGGCCATGGCCTGGGCTACGGCTACGGACCGTCGGCGGGAGGCGCCATCCTGGGATCGGGCATCGGAATCGGAGTCGGAGTGCCAGTGGCCCAGGAGCTGCCCACCCAAGTGCACACCAACACCGTGGTGAGGACCGTGCAGGTGCCCTACCAGGTGGAGCGTCACGTCCCCTACCCCGTTGAGAAGACCGTCACCTATCCCGTCAAGGTGCCCGTGCCCCAGCCCTACCCCGTGGAGAAGATCGTCCATGTGCCCGTGAAGGAGATCGTGAAGGTGCCCGTCGAGGTGCCCCAGCCCTACCCCGTCGAGAAGGTCATCCGTGTGCCCGTGAAGATCCCCGTCGATCGTCCCTACACCGTGCACGTGGACAAGCCATACCCGGTGCCCGTGGAGAAGCCCGTGCCATACACCGTTGAGAAGCGCGTCATCCACAAGGTGCCCGTCCATGTGGAGCGCCCAGTGCCCTACAAGGTGGCCGTGCCCGTGCCCGTCCATGTCGAGAGCCACGTGAAGCCCGCCGTGGCCGTCACCCACACCGTCGCCGCTGCCCCGGCCATCATTGGCCACGGAATCTCCTCGTACGGAGGCTACTCCGGCCATGGAATCTCCTCGTATGGCGGCTCCGGACACGGTATCTCCTCGTACGGCAGCTCCGGACACGGAATCTCCTACGGCAGCTCCGGACACGGTGGCTACCTCCACAAAAAGTAGATGAAATCGCATTGCTGTCGAGGGCCGAATGAGAGGTGAAATCGGGTGAAGGCGAGCGAACCAACAAGTCGAAAGTATCCAAAAGACATTAAGAATCAAGCACCCCCCACCCACTTTCCCACGCCCAGCAACCGCCAACGTACGACTTACAAATTTAGTTTTAGTTTGTGATACCAACCGAAATTCTAGGAGGTTTCGAAGCAGGAGAAAATCACACATCTGACACAATCCATTCTAGAAAGCTTGCCAAAACCCATCTGGGGCGTTCAGAAAGTGCCTGTCTCCTGGACTTCCGATTCCATCGAGTGTACAGTTCTTTTGTAGACAATCACAGAGAAATAACTGCTGACGAGTTGCTCCTTCGACTTTTTCATGTAAATTTCTTTTCTATGAAATGTTTGTACATATTTAAATAATGTAAATAAAACGAAAATTAAAAAAAACACAAGTTCTTATTGGTCGTGAAGGGAAATGTTAATATGAGGGGTAGTTATAAAGTGATTTATGCGATAAAGAAATAATGAAAATGGGACCAATGTGCCAATAGGCATTTTTAGTATTTACCAGTGTAATAACTTTAAAAAAAGTAGGGTACAGCTTAAGTTTCAAAAAATAATTATCATCTGCTTCCAAAATAAATTTAAATTATTAACTACATCCCAAAAAATTATATTCGTATAGTTACGAAACTATAAAAATTATTTCACTTCTATTAAAGTAGTAAAAATTAAGTTGTGTTGCTTGGGCTGCCAATCAAGAGAAATCTGTATAAATATTGTTGTTGTTTTATTGATACAATTTCAGTTCCAAGGGTTGGTCCCATTTAACTATTATAAAAGTCAAACTAAATATTGGGTTTTTATGTGCGCATAGAGTTTTTGTGAATACTATTACCATAGTTAGTTAAAAAGTATTAAATAAACAAGGGCTTAAAAAATTGTTTTTAAAACAACAACAACAAGAGAAAAATAGATTTAAACAAATTAGGAAATTTCAAAAGTAAGACAATTTATTGCTAACGTTAAAATTAGATTTATAGTAATTTCATAGTCCCAAAATTATGCTACAAAGTCTACGTATTTCTTAAAGCTCTTTCATAAACTATAGAAGCTTTGTTATCGTGTTTTTGAATAAAATCCTCGGCGCCACTGAAATTAGTCCTGAGAAGAATTCTGATCTTCTACAAGCAGTACATTTTGAAACGTATCCCAGAAAAGGATCAATTAAAATACAATAACTAAGATGCTATGTTTCCTTTAGGAACTTAACTTGATTAAATCACAATGAGAACATTTTGAACTCAAAAAATTTCGTTCTCATTTTAAGAACATTTTCCACTCAGATGAGAACGTCAGAAATTTCTCTGTGTAACTCATAAAATTACTAGTTGCAATGAAGATCTTTATCGGTGCTCTCGAAACGCTCTCTCAGTACAAAATTCTGGTCTAGATACTCCTAGCGAAAAGCTCAACTTAATTGCCATGGTAAGAATTAATTTAAAATAAAAATTGATCGACAATGAACTTAAAAATTCTTCGACCGAAATGGAGTTGGAAAAGACATTATTGTTGCCCTAATTACATTCAATTCGATGGAAAATGTATGGAATTAAAGATAATCTCTGTTGAAGATAAAGTATAATCAATTTGTCAAATTAAGGCTGTTTTAATTGCTTTTTTTTTTTTCGTAACGGTCTATATTTGGAAAAGCAGCGAACGAACATATTTTATAAGAGACAGTGGGCAAATGCTTGTGGGATCTGAAGTATAATATGTAATGTGAATTTATTAATAAAATAATTTAAACTAAAAATTAATTCATTTAATTCATAATAAACATGCAAACACAAATTTTGATCGAAACTAAAGTCACTTTGCAATGAAATAGAATTTTTGAAAAATAAAGAAGATGTGATTCAATGTTACCTACGCATAGAAATGATACAACTACTTTATTGTTGTTGGGACAAGTAATGCAGATGGACATTGATAAATAAAACATAATCTAATACACATTTTTAAAATTGTGGATGCTAAAAGGTCGGAAACGCACGGAAACATACTTTTCGATTAGTTTAGTATATCCTATAACTCTACGAGTAAAGGGTGTAATATCTTTCCACAAATTTGCAGAAAGGACATGTAACATAAAATGATTTGATCACTTTCAAAAAAATTAGTAATACCAAACCAAGCGTTAATGTACCTCTGTTTTTTCTAGAAAAACTTAAAAAGTTTGATGACGAATCAATTCGAGCAATCTTTTTTATTTTTTAAAAACTACACATATCTCAGTTTTAAATTGCTAACTATAAATAAAAGCTACACATTTGTTAAGATCAGTGGTTTTCAAACTGTAAGTTTATTTGATACCCTGAATCTATGCAACAAATATTTGAAATAAATTATCCAAGCTTCTTGACTTTTAAAAAAGATAGAAAGCTTCACAAAGCTTTCAGGTCTAGTAAAATAAAAAAATTTGATGACATTTTTTTGGGACTCCCAACATTTACATTACTTACAGGGGTTGCAAAACATAAAATAATTCCGTTTCAATTTAATTTGAAGAACAAAGGATTTTTACATTTTTATACCCGTTACTCGTAGAGTAAAAGGGTATACTAGATTCGTCGGAAAGTATGTAACAGGCAGAAGGAAGCGTTTCCGACCCCACAAAGTATATATATTCTTGATCAGGATCACTAGCCGAGTCGATCTAGCCATGTCCGTCTGTCCGTCTGTCCGTCTGTCCGTCTGACCGTCTGTCCGTCTGTCCGTCTGTCTGTCCGTCCGGATGAACGCTGAGATCTCGGAAACTATGGGAGCTAGGCTATTGAGATTTGGCGTGCAGATTCCTGAGCTTCTTACGCAGCGCAAGTTTGTTTCAGCACAGTGCCACGCCCACTCTAACGCCCACAAACCGCCCAAAACTGTGGCTCCTACAGTTTTGATGCTAGAATAAAAATTTTAACTGAAATGTATTGTTCTCACCAATACCTATCGATTGACCCAAAAAAAAGTTTGCCACGCCCACTTTAACGCCCACAAACCGCGAAAACCTGTGACGCCCACAATTTTCATGCTAGATAAAAAATTTTAACTGAAATGTATTGGTCTCGTCGATACCTATCGATTGATCCATAACGCTTAAATCTGTATACCGCCGGTAGGTGGCGCATTTTAATCTCGCTTTGCTGCTTGCATATCTCCATATAGCTGAGTAACGGGTATCTGATAGTCGAGGTACTCGACTATAGCGTTCTTCCTTGTTTAAATTGCATTCATATCTATGTAAATAATAATTATTATTATTATATTTTATATATATAATCAATTAAAGTTCCCTTCTGTCTTTTGACATGCTCCCCAACCATAGTTTAAAAGCATAGCACTATCCTCCAAGCATGAAGCTCTGGTTAAGCCGAGCTTTGCTTAATCTTCTGCGAAGCTTTATTATCTTTTTTGCCCAGTGACGTTGCAAATATAAGTTTAAAAAGGGATTTAAAAAAAAATTGTTTAAATAATTTCCCAAAATGTAATATGTGATAACATTTAGAATTTAAAAACAAAATTGGGAGCAAGCGATCCCCTTTGAATAAATAATGTGACGCCCATGACATTTCTCAAGAGCAGAATAAAATACGTATCCCTCAAAAGGTTGGAACAGTTGCCTTTTATTTGTTTTCCGGAGCGGACTGATATTGCAAAAATGTTTAAGATTATTATATATACTGTACTGAGCCTTTCAATGTTCAAAAGGATCAGTTGCGATGCAGATCCTCACTTGTGCCAACAACACGTGGCTGTTAACTACACGGAGATGGTAGCTAAGCCTATGGAGGAATACGGAAACTTTGCGAAATACTTCTCAGAATTGGGAATACAAGCAGGGAATAAAACTGTGGTAAGCTGCAAGCATTAAATACAGTTTATGTGGAATTTACAAAAGGACAAATTTTTAGACCAAAACCAGAATAGAAGATAAATATCTTTGTTGTCCTGGCTACAAAAAGTCTGCCGATGGACTATGTGTTCTCGACCAAACCACAACTTCGACCACGCCATCGACAACAGAAGCACACGATTTAACAGAATCAACTGAATTACCCCAAATGGATTCATCTATATCTAGTTCTATAACGAAAGTAAATAGCAGCCACAAATCACTAGTTTTGGGTACAATTTTAGGAGTTTGTGTTATGATAATTATCGTAGCTTCTGTGATTACATGGCAAATTCGGAAGCGCAGAAATATACCAAATAACGGAAGCCGTCAAGTACAATTTGATGCTGAAATGCAAAGAGCTCTATTATAAAACTTTTACAATTCGCATTAAAGCGGATATACTTTGTTATCTGCTCACATTCAATACAAGTAAAAATTTCCCAGAATAAGAGTTACGACTAAAAACAGCCATTTCATGTGAAGCACCGTTCTTATCACTTTTAATTAACTGGAAAAGAGATAAATATAAATTTCACAATAGTCGGAAATAAAAAATAACAAAGTTCATTCTTTATATGATATATACTTATGGGATGATAAAAACAAAGCCTTTGTTCACAAGCAAAGTCATTTTAAAAGCCTACGCACCTCATTGAAAGATATGTACTTATTCTGAATAATGGTTGGTTCTATTATTATATTTTATTGTTTAATCATTCTAATCCAAAGAATAAATAATTTATATAAAATATTAGATTAAATATTAATATAACAAAATCATTTTTTTGCAATTTTTGAAGCACATTGTGAAATTAAAATTAAAGTAAATATTTTAATACAACAATCAAGGTTTAAAAAAGCTGATTAAAATGTGAAATAATAATAAAGAAAATTATAAATAATTTAGGAGAGTTATTGATAAAGTTGGTACAATTATTTGCAAACACAAAATGGAAGTATATATTTTTTTGGCTCTTTAATGAAAATAAGTTTTCATTTTTATACCCGTTACTTGTAGAGTTAAAAAGTATTCGTCGGAAAGTACATACGTACCAAGTTGAAGGAAGTATTTCCGACCCTATAATGTATATATATTCTTGATCAGGATCACAAGCCGAAGGATGAGATCTCGGAAACTATAAGAGCTAGAATTTATAGACTTAGCATACAGATCTTAGGTGTTCTTAAGCTGCGAATGTTTGTTTCAGCGGAGTGCCGTTCTAACCCCCATATAGATGAAGCCTTTTTTAGTGGAAGTGGAACTTGATTTTATTGATCAATTCCTATTTAGATGCCAATAATCATACCAATCGCTTTTTTTTGTATTTTTTTTTAAAAGCTTTGGATAACTAAGTTATCAATTTAAAAAAGACCTTGCATGGTCAGTAGTAGCCTTTCCGATACGAGCCGGGCTAATAAAAATTCCATGGAATTCGTGTTTAAATGTTTCTCATTTTAAAGCTGAGTAACGGGTATCTGATAGTCGAGTCACTCTACTATAGCATTCACTCTAATTTAGTTAGAATTAATATATAAATAAGATATGCCTTTGGTCTACCAAAGTTCGAGTGAACTTGCCCACTTCTATCTATCTACTTCCCTCTCACTCCACTTCACTTCCCACATAATCTCCAAAGCACTTTAGCAAAAATATGGCAGGTAATTTGGCAAAAATGAACGAAAAGTGGACTGGTGAAAAGTGATGCAACAATTAGTGCACGTGAGCTAGGCGAGTGCCGGGAACTGTAGAGCAGCCACATTTATCGGCGCAATCAACTGCAATGACAGGCAGTCCAGAAAGAGCCGATACGCGTTTCAAGTTCGCTGCCTGAGTCTTTCGTTTTGGGAGAACCTGTTGCTGTTGCTGTTGCCTGGATTGACCAACGCCAGCAACATTGATCTTGTCCTAACCCGAGCAACTGGGCAACTGAGCCGTTGTTCGTGTTAGCCCGATTGTAACGAGTGTGTGTGTGCCAATGGAGAATGGCTCGACCCAAAAAGCAAAAGCAAAGTGAATGCAACAACAACAAAAACCATAATGAGCAATGCAGACGCAATCAATTAGCGATATGCTGATGACGTCGACTTGGCTGATATTATTGTGGCTTTTTCTTTGTGTGTGCGGCTGCCACATGTGGCGATTGCGTCATGGCGCCATGCAAACCGTCTAGCAGTAATTGACTTGCAATTTCTTTTGCGCGCAACTTTTCGGTTGCAAAGAAAATTTTCAAACCCAAATGTGTTGCCACATTTCAACAATCCGACAGAGCAACAGCCAAAAGCGACGAAAGCCTGAGGAAAATTTGTACGGGCAATTTTTGGCAGTTATCACGGAGTAGATCTTAAATATGTTGCAAGTGGCCCACTGACATTTTCGCAACTGAAGACAAAAATCTGGAAATAATTCTTCAAAGCTTTATTGCTTAATATGTAAAAATATTAATCATTTTATTAATCATTGCTTACTTCTCTTGACCGCTTTATAAAGTTTAGTTTAGCAATCAGTTGGTTTTCTTAGTGTGCAGCCCAAAAATATTGTATGCATTTTTAATGCGTACGTTTTTTACTTTCTCTGTTCACTAATTTTCTTATTCGGAAGTTGTTTCGCTCAATCAAGTTTTTACTACGTTTTTACATGCCTTTGAAATATAGGAAAACCATAATAAATTTGATTGTTGTACTTGGACAGATTTGTCTTTCTGTTCATTAAAGTCTACCAATTGCTTAAAGTTCTACCTCTAGTTGTTTTTATAATACTCTGATTTTCTATTTTTAAGCGCTTTTTGGTATTTTATGTGTCTAAGATGATTGCTAAATACACGTATTTTTCTTTTATTGCTGTTGTTTTGTTAATTACAGTCATTTGAGTGCTGCCTAATTACGCTCCGCTCTATATTTTTAGACTGGCCGAGGTTAGAGGGAAAAGTTTCCAAGAGATATTTATATAAACTAGGAAAAATTTAAAAATAATACACTAATGACTATTAGCTTACACTAGCAGTAAAATTAAATACACTGTGGACAATATACAATTTATTTAACTTCCAACACTTTACAATAACTGTTTAGTCTAGTGACTGCTACAAAATCTCCACAACTTTCCTTCCTTGAGCACAGCATTTTAGGTAGTAAATTAAAATATTATTTCTAATATTATTCTAAAAAACCGCTGAAGCACCTCTCGCTTGCCCATCCACATTCACACTAATGGCAACTTCGGCTTCGCCTCACTGCGGCTCAGAAGGCAGCAAAGCCAAGAGCTGCAAAAGCAGATTAACCAAATGTAAAACGAAAATGCCGACAAGAAACGGACCAGCCCGAATGTGTTTTACCCGATACCCTGGGCTGCACTACAGCATAATGTTTATTCAATTTACGCAATTTGCACCAGCAACAACGGCTTATTTGATTGCCAACTTTGTTTCGGACTTGAGGTGTTGTTGTAATTATGGCCACAAAAACAAAGGTGAATTGTGGCCAAAACTGAAATCGAAATTGAAGTCTTTATTTAAAATAGTTTCTGCTGAAGTAGTGACGACAGGCAGCGGATTTTCCGCATAATACTTCGCAAGCTTTTCACTGAAAACTCAAGATTTGTTGACTAAGTCAATGGGTCAACTATTACACCCCACCCCAATACAGCTGGCCGACACGAAGTTGGCCCCCAAGGCGGAATTATTATGCTAATAAATAGTTTTTCTTTGACTGGTTTTTCAGGCTTTCTTACTGCAAAATCTGCATAAATTCGCAGGTGGATCGCAGGCGCAACTTCCTTATTAATCAGTTTAGCTTATCGCACTACCCACAAAAATAGAGGGACGCCCAGCCACAATTTGTATTAAGTGTACGTCACGGTTAGCTGCAGATCCATAAAGAAACATAGATATTTTAGTTTTGACAAAAGCATTCAACGGCGCGTGACAATGTGACCAAATAGTGTCTTGGCTTATCGGACAATATGTGTCTAAACAGCTTCCATTCCAAAATAAAAGAAGGCATTAACGAACTCGTCACAATATAAAAGAGGCAAGAGTTCAAATGCTTTTGCCATTGACCCCATTTCCTGTCTCTTTTCTTATTTTCGGAGTGTTATTTCGCTGATCGGTTCCGAGATGCGTTAAGCTGAGATCGTAAACCCCGATTGAGCTCTAATTGCAATGATCATTGGGGGAAGTGGTTGGCTATTGTTAGAAAATTAACAGCTGATCGCAGCCAAACGATTGTAATAGGGCTGTGATTGCAGTTTACACGTCTTGCAAGTTCATTGGAATGGTATTTAACCCGAAAACGAACGGATCATGGGGATAGTTGATAATTGGTTTGCCTAATGAAGTTTTTGGGCGGGCATGCAATGCTTTGGCATTGAACTTCGGGGGTTTCCCTTTTAAGCTAACTGCAGATCAAGGAGGTTCACTTTCTGTTTCCATAACTTAAGTAATGGTTGCCACTTTTCAAAAAAGTCTTTGATGGGTTTAAATCAAATATGTATTTCTTAAATTCAGGTACTATACGATTTTTATCTGTTTTGTAATTTGCTTTATAATTTAAACACATTTTTTTACAACGGCGATTCGGGCTAGTCTCGTTCTAGCCTTACGATTTTTTAATTATTCTAAACTCTGCTATAAAAATTTATATTTACAAGGATTTTAAATAATAAATTTCCGCCTAAATTTGATTTTTTTATAAAGATCCTTTAGACAAAGAAATCTGGGTACTAAAATCGAGTAACCAAATTTAAACGGAAGTCTATAATCTAAAATTCTTGTAGATAGAAATGTTTACAGCAGAGTTTAGAGTCATCCTACTTATAAGGTTTTCCCACCATGACAAATTGCGTCGTTCGTTTTGGGAGCCAACTTTTCAGTCAGCTGGGCAGGGTAACAAGCCCAAGCAACGACCTTGACCAGTAATGCAATGAACCCCGTCTGCGGTGGCCCGATCCAAAAAATGGCAGTAAACAAGACGCGAAACGGTTAAACCACCGAGACTCAAAAGAAACAGTTACCCACAAGTTGGCAAGTGGAAACCACAAGCGAAACAACAACCAACAACTTTAGGTGACAAAGAGCTGAATGGGACTTTGGTAAACGGCACATAAAGTGTCATAACTGTCATTTTCGCCTACACGGCATACAGCTCTATATATTGTTGGAAGTCGTCCAATACTTAAGACATCACAACATCAAAAATGGGAACGGAGTGGAATGGAATGCTCGAGCGATGACAATAAATTGTTACACAAATCAGGCAGCGAATGCAAATCAGAGCCAGTTTCTTCTAAGCAATATAATCAATCGACAGCAGGTTCAACTTTGACACCTTTGTCGGCGAATAAAGACCCACCGAAAAATGGATGAATGAATTTATGTAAAGCTTAGTTTATCGCCAAAGCGGCAAGGTCAGGTCACAGACAATGTAAACAAACGAGCTGCAGCCTGAATATCGGCACAAAGAAGCTGGGATCCAATCGAGAGATGGTATTATAGGCAAGGCAAAACAATGGGGATGGGGGGAGTCTAAAAAAAAAGTAGCAAAGAGTGGATATAAGTGTGGATATACATAGTTATATGTGGGGGCACATGGTAATTAAGTCAAGGAAGTAAGAGCACTCCAACCGATTATGAGGGGGCTCAGACAATGTACTCGAAATCATCTCTCTGACGAGAAGGCGTGCGCCCCAGCAAACGAACATATGACATAATATCACCATCAGCTGGGGCAGCCTCCAAGCGCCACTCGCTGCCTCTCTTTCTTCTGGCCCAGCGCCGTCTCTTTCCCGCAATTGTGGAAATGTGCTTCGAACAATGTGGTCAAGACATGCAACAAACGCGAATCGAAACGAAATCGAAAGTTGCATGCATGCAACGAAAGCGAGAAAATATTTGCTATCGTAACAAGTCTTGGATTATAAGATACTAAACATGACCATAAGACCACTCTATAACTATACTTCTCAATAGATATACGATTTTAAAGAGGTTTTTCAGAATAAAATAATACTAAATCTATAAAATATTATAGGTGCTATCCTTTAAAATGGGTCTTTGAATTGAATAAACTTTTTTCTTACAGTAGGTTCCAATTTCAACATATCTTTAGCATTAAGAATCTTTATTTACAAGATTTTTGGGATCATATACATAAGTTTAATAGAGTTATAGAAAGACACCGCTCATTCTTGGAATTTTAATGCAAATTACCTTGTTAATAAATCTAAAATACACCCAAAAGAAAGCATTAGTATACTAATAACTATAACTATACTTATGGTGTGCACCTTAAACTCGTATCCACACTACAAGTGCGATATATTTATACTCGATATGTGTGCCAAACCGCAGCTGACTGAAGACCCATTGACATAATAACGAGGAAGGTAATCGGACTAAGACTGGACCCGCCCCGGCCAGGGTCCACTTGGACTCTGGTGGCGCTACTGTTTGTGGTGCCGGTGGTATCAATTACGCAGCAATGGATATGGATATGGATGGAATTGGATTGGATTGGACGAGCGTCTCGGTTCGCGGACTTCTGTTTCTACTAGTTGTGATTGTGCTCTTTGTCTTAGGTTATGGTTGGTGAATCCAATGTGGAGCAGTGACACAACCACAGCCGAATGACCGAGTGACACGCTCTCCAGGTGAAGTTGGTCCCCAACCTCGCGGAGACTGGTCCGGAATTACTGGGGGCTGGGTTCGGTGAATGGGATAATGGCATAATACGAATGGGAAAAAAGTAAAAGGATGCAGATGACAGCCAGACAGAGGATTGTCTGTGGTCAGTTGAGGAAGGAGAAAACCAGGTGACACTGGACCAAAAAAAGGGGGTGCACACAAAGTAAGGGGGATAAAGACTTGTAATAATAGAAAATAAAAACTGACCAGGATTGGTTGAGCATTCAATTAGGAAAAACGTTCAAAGCGGTGAAAGGAAAGCTTTAGTAAATTAGTGTTTTTTTAGGGTATGGTAAAATGTTATTGTGCTCATTTGAAGTACGATTACTTATTGACTAATGGGCTTAAATGCATGAAGTTATGATAGATAAATATATAATGATACCAAATATATAAAAATACATTCGATCTATTATCTGTCTTATTTCTAAAACTCATTAAATATATATTTTAAAAACCGATCCAAAAACTTACATCTAAAGTCCTTAAGTCATTTATCTGTTCTCAACCAAAACATCGCACTAAAGAACAATCAGCTCGACGAAGAGCTGGCAAATAAAACATCCAGCAGCAACAAGTACATAACCATCTGTGATTAACATTAAAACAACATTGAAATGAAAACCCCTAACAAAGCGAACAGCTCATCACCTGAAGTGGCTTGAAAGCGGCTCATCCATTTGGGTGTTATTCAATTACCAGCCAGAAATTGTGGGGCCTGCTGCTGAAGTTGCCGCAGTGGCTTGGCTTTTGGTTTCTCAAGCCTTTTACGTGCATTGACTTGCGGCAGCCACAAGAAGCGAAAAAGCGGCAGCTGACGGTAGTCGAATTAAACAGCAAAATGGCACGCATCCATAGACCCTCGTCTGCTCTCCCCCCAATCCCCATGAAAATCCCCCCGCATTCACCCATTCGTGTGGTCTCCTCTTGATATTGCAATCTTACTTCGGTTTTCATACTCGTGAAGAGGGTTTTACGACTGTGAAGATCGGTTTGCAGCGCATACTTTAAAGTAATGAGTCTATTACACGTATTAATTGTCAAAAAATTTACTCAAAGTATCGGAATCATTGGCACACTGATTTAATTGCCAAGGACCGACCTATATTTTTAAAAGGCAAAAGTTGGACTTTTTAGTTTATGCATAGGGATGTAATTGGGAGGATGAAGAATATTAAGTCTATACTCTATTATGATTATAGTTAGTAAGTTAGTTTCGGCTTTTAGAACATTTGCTTTTATATACATTTTTAAATGTGACATAAACTTAAAAAGCAGTTTTTGAAAAGCCATTTAAAGCTTTAAAAAGTCACAGCTCTTGAATTAAATTCAGCACAAATAATTAACAGCAGTGCTTATATTATTAAATTAAAATGTATTAAAGTACCAAGTTAATCTTCTGCTTTGTATTAAAAAGAGCCCGAGTTTAAAACTCATAACGGTCTGATTCATGTTTCGGCGAAAAGAATTTATAGTATTTTATTATAACGCATACAAAAAAATGTTTTTAGTGGAAAGTTAATTTTTAGAGACCAATAATAACAGATACTTTATATAAAATAGATAGAATTTCTCTAAAAACGGAGATAAGTTTATTTTAATGCACTATTTTGATAGGTGCAATGATCTGTAGACTTTTATAATAAAGGTCGATAGTGCCAGATGTTTAAAAACTTGAGTATATCTTAAAAAATTATTAACAATTCCCTTAAAGGGTATTAAAAGGTTCGTATATTTTAGCTCGATTGCCATTCTTGTTTTTGTTTTTTTTGCGGTGACTGTGGCGCTGCATTTGGCGCTGCATTTGGCGCTTGGCTGCGTTGACTTCGCGCCTCCAAAATCCAGCGACCCACCAGCCGGCGGACCACCGAAGCCAAAGTAGACAGGCAACCGCACAGTAACAACAACAAACACACCAGTTAGTATGGCGTACCGCTCACCATTCGCTGCGCCGCATGTGTTTTGGGCCATTGCGATTATTATTGGTGTTGCCGATGCTTTTGGCTCTTCGGCTTAACTTGCTTCGTGCATCCATTCATTCGGCGGACCGGAGTAGAGTGGCTTTGCTTTCGATTGGGAACTATAAAAGTGCGAGCAGGCGCTGCAGTAGGCATCATTAAACCGTTAACCGTCGAACAGTCTACAGCCTAGAGTCGTACGGAACACGTGGACTAGTGATCAATAGACACCCCTCGATTAAAAACGGGATCAGTTCTCGCCCAGTTCTCGAACCGCGTGCCACACCACCTGGGAAAACGGATTTCCATTCCCATCCATCGAAGGATAAACGCAGCACCATGAAGTTGATGGTAAGTATCGGTGGCAGGACGAAAGAGTGCAGTGAACAAGTGGTTGCAAAGGACTCAAGAATATTAAAGATACCCATTCGATTACTCAGTGATAGAAATGCACAGAAACGCATTAAGAATCAGTGATTTCAACAACAATTCTTCAAAACAATCACAAGGATGTGTATTGAACACTTTCATTAAATTCTTACTTGGCTAAAATGCAATAGATTGTTTAAATTTCAAAACCGTAAGCTTTAAATCACATCTTCTCTAACTCTCTTTTCCTTAGCTTAAATGCAAGACTTTGTAATATTTCCAGAACTGAAGTTCTAGATCTTAGCTTTGTCAAATTAAAAAGTTTTTAAACATCCAATATTATATTTCAAACTACCAATGAATTTATATTTTGATCAATTTTTGTAAGCTTGTTACTGCCAGTTTAATAGCCAGAACAACACTTTCCAATGCCCATGCCACCAATATATTCTTACAAGGACTCCTTTAACTTGCAGCGCACAGCGACTTCGCTGGCTTTGGTCCTGCTCCTGGCCACCAGCTACGTCCGGGCCGAGGACGAAAAGGCAGCCGCTCCCGCCGAGGAGAAGAAGGCTGAGCCGGAGGCCAAGGCTGCCGAGGCGGCGGCCAGCGAGGACACCACCAAGTCGAAGCGAGGACTGCACCACTACGAGGACTACCACCACCACCATCACCACGTGCCCCACTTCCCGGTGCACGAGGAGAAGACCCTGACGGTGATCAAGAAGGTGCCCGTGCCCGTGCCCATCGAGAAGATCGTGCACGTGCCGGTGGAGAAGCACATCCATGTGCCCGTTAAGGTCAAGGTGCCCAAGCCCTACCCGGTGATCAAGCACATTCCCTACGAGGTTAAGGAGATCGTGAAGGTGCCCTACGAGGTGCCAGCTCCCTATCCCGTGGAGAAGCAGGTCCATGTGCCCGTCCATGTGCACTACGATCGCCCTGTGCCCGTTAAGGTGGGTTGGGAATTGGGGAACCCAATACATAGGGGTTCTAATTATTTGGCTTTCTTTCTCCTCCAGGTTCATGTGCCCGCTCCTTACCCAGTCGAAAAGAAGGTCCATGTGCCCGTGAAGGTCCATGTGCCCGCTCCCTATCCCGTCGAAAAGATCGTCCATTACAATGTGGAGAAGCACGTGCATGTTGACAAGCCATACCCCGTCGAAAAGGTGGTCCACTACCCCGTGAAGGTGCCCGTCGACAAGCCAGTGCCCCATTACATCGACAAACCAGTGCCCCACTATGTCGACAAACCAGTGCCAGTGCCCGTGATCAAGAAGGTGCCAGTGCCCGTCCATGTGCCCTATGATCGCCCCGTGCCCGTCCATGTTGAGAAGCCAGTGCCCTATGAGGTCAAGGTCCATGTGCCCGCCCCCTACCCGGTGATCAAGGAAGTGCCCGTGAAGGTCGAGAAACACGTTCCCTACCCGGTCAAGATCCCCGTTGAGAAGCCCGTCCATGTCCACATCGAGAAGCACGTGCCGGAGTACCATGAGAAGCATGTCACCTACAAGGAGCCGGAGTTCCACCACAAGCACATCGAGGAGGACCACCACCACGCCCCCATCCATCACCATTCGCATCCCATCGTGGAGCATGAGCACGAGGTGGAGCATGATTTTGCCTCTCATGATTATCATTCATATCACGGCTACTAAACTGGTGAATCGCACTCTTCTCTCTTTCTCTCCCCTTCTTTCGCTTTTCTTTACAGCATTGAGAATGAACTGGTATGGCAAGCAAAGACTCTTCCATTTCCACAATTTCCCAAATCAAGTTGAAAAAAAAAGAAAATCCAGAAAAAGAAACCCATAACCCGCTACCCATCATTCCATTCCATAACATACCACCTTTCCTACACAACGTGATAACCGACAGAGATTCAGAGAAACCAGACGAGTAGCCGACGAACTTAGCTTTTAGACCGAACTCTCTTCTAGCCGTAAGCCATAACATTAAACCGAAAAACAGAACACAAATGGATACCTTGAAACGTTGACGAAACCCGTGAGCCCTGTGAATGAGTGGATTGTAAAGGAACTTAGGATTAAGACTTCCAAGCGACACATTTGGGCCGCACAGCCCACACAACAACTAGAACATCAAGAACATCAACATCTACAAGAACAAGAACACCAACCCACTTCCCGCCCCTCCAAGACACTCGATCGAACACAGACAGTTGCCAAGATCCGGGACCCAAGGATACCAGGCCTATTGTACTGCTACGACGATGTGGACTCTTGGATGGACGGAAGCGACACCACCTGGGTGCATCATCGATGTGGTTGCTGCTGCTGTTTTGTCCTCCAGCCGCGGCTCCTCCCTCTTCTGCTCTGGTCCACCCCGACTCGTGCACCCGTTCCAGTTCCCAAGTGAGATGGATCTATTACCATCCCGTCCTATGATGAGGATCAGGATCAATCCATCCAGTTGTGTGCAGCGTCCCAGCGTTGTGAGCGTGTGATAAGACTACTGATAGCGTTTAAGCTTGTGCGATATTCGAGATAGGAGACGCCTATTTAAGTCAGTTTGTAAACGAACGTATTGTATTAGTTTTTGTAATATTCTTCGCTACCTAGTTTGTAATACGTCTTTGTAATACTGCTTGTTCGTATAAGCAATCGAAACGGATTTATAAAAAGTACTTAATTTACCAAATATTTTTTGACTCTGTATAAAAACAAACAAAAAATCTCATACAACATGAAGCTGATGAATGACACACAATTAAATAAATGAAAACCAAGTGATCAAAACGAAAATACAAATGCTTTTTAATTCATTTCAGCAAACTACCAAAACAAATTTATAATTTAATCTTAATAAAGGTTAACTTGTACAAAATACATTTTATTATTTAAAACTTTGCTATTACTGAGAAGGGAATCCATATTAAAAAAAAATTAAAATATTCTAAAACATTTTCTATTAAATTTCTAGAATATTTCTAACATGAAAAAGAAATATAAATCGAAATACCAATTGCAAGGCGTACTCCTGAGAAGTAACTAAATGACAATTTCAACGGTCATTAAAAAAAATCAGCAACTTTAAACAATTTGTTTTATAAAACCTAAATTTTAAAGGCCCAACTCGAGCCAGTTGTGCAAGTAACAAAACAACTAAATTATATAATTCGCTGGTATAATACCGTGTTTTACTAACGACTTAAAATCATGTCTTTATTATCTTTGTAGGTACAAGTATTTGTGCAAAAAATAAAAACAAACAAAAATGCACATAAATTGAAATCGTTTTGGCAACAACTACTTTATTTAGATCTGGAATTTATTATAATAAAAATTTAAATAATATAAAGTTTATTGTAAAGTAAAGGCCTTAATTGCTTGTAGCTTAACTCCATTTAAGTGTAATTGCCTTCATTATAAATAAATAATAATCGCAATTTAACCTCAACACATCCCACATACTGCAGCCATTTGCATTGGCCAAACTCACTTTCAGTCGAATCGCTTTACCCACAGAAAAGCAGACATGGAAGGCGAAGAGCCGAATCAAGTCGTTCCTTCATTGCCCATAAATGTCTTGTCTAATTTTCAAATGAGGTAAACATCGCCTTGCATTCATAATTGCATATTCAAAGTGTCTCGCCCACAGAAAGACTGCCTGAAAGACAGGCGCATTTGGGGGGCTCCAAGGAGGAGGACAGTTCAACATGTTTATTACATTTTCCACACCATCGTTTCGCTTTCCCCGGGCTCTTGAGCTCCAAGTCTCTGCACCAGTGTCCATTTCCTAGCGTTTATTTTGCGGTGTGGGCATTACTTTTTATTAGCACCAGCAAAAAAGGGGGTCTTTGCTTTATTTTTCGGTCTCGGTTTTTGCACTCCTTCTGCGGCTTTTGCCAGCCTGTTGCAGCGACCACAAAGATTGGGTTTCAATTTGCATTTTCGGCTTCATTGAAGCCGCTGCAATTTGCAGAGTGGGTTAAATAAAGTGGGCCACGGATTTATCACGTTTTTCCCCAGTCGGTTTGTAGGACATGTGCTGCTAACCGATATTTGAGCCGTAAGACCCGTCGAGTCGAGCGCTGGGGCACAGCTCTTTTTTATTACCATATTGGGGCTAACTCTCTTGGTGGCCAGTTGTTTTCTGGTAGCTTTTGTTTATGTAACTGTAGCGTTTGCAGTTTATTGATTATGCAATAAATAATCGCCAGCACAATGCCCGATTTGCGACCCGGTGTTGTAATCCTCCATCCTCGCCGCCCCCTATTTTCCTGACCGGGAGTGTGCGGCTAATGCCAAAAGAATGGCTGCAATAAAAATCTGGCTAATGGCTCTGATGGGGAGCCGAGCTAGCACTTCATTCATTTAGTGTAGCCAGTCTTTTTTCAAGAAATATTAAATTAAGTAGCTTACAAGCTTTAACTATGACGACTTCCTAACTTGCTGTTTTCATATTTGGGAATATATAAAGTCACACTTTTTATTGTTACAAGTAGAGTAAAATTTAAGTATAATCCAAGATTAGTTCAACACTGAAATCATTTGATAGCATAGACCCACTTGGGATTACCTAATAGCCACTTTAAAAGAACTCAAGCCACACACGTTTGTATTAGTTATGGTGAAACCTTAGACAAAACGAATTACACAACAATAAAAAGAAGAAACCAAGGAGATTGAGACATATGATTCGGCATTGACACCTTCTTGGAAATGGAAACTCAAGCCAGAAAATATTTGTAGATTACTGGGTCAACGCTTCGAGCTTGGCAGTCGAGCCTGAACAGTTAAAATCGTCTGGTCTGGATTTTCGTAACAGTTTTCCAACCGGGCTTATTTAAATGATGGCCAACTAAACCCGCTCCGTCTGTTAACGGCAGCCAAGTGGAAAGTGAATGCGGGAAACATTGCAGACATGTGAGTTTTCAGTTTCAGCTTAATTTCATTTTCTTTTTCGCAGACCCGAAGCTTGGCTTTCTGTGTGTGTTGGACATTATGCGATGTTAGTGGGCCAACTTTATGGCCGGTTCGACGATCTCAGCGATCGCAACGCGTAATCGCCGGCAATTTGACGGAAAATGTTTGAAATAGTGTGTAAATTGTAATCAAAAATAGCAAAATTAATAACAAGCCGCAGCATGACGTTTTAATTGCTCTGGTTATGCAGCACATAATTAAATAGGAGAAATGTTTGCCAGGTAATTATGCAATCAAACGCGTAATATAGAACATTTAAAACACTCACTTGATGTAGGGAATATTTGCTGGTATATGGTACTTGGCTCCCATGTCGAAATCCTTCTCTGAGCGCAGGACTGGAGGCTTTATGCCAGAATACTTTTCACTAATTAAAAGAAAGTATTAATAAAAGCTTAGAGATGTTGTTATAAACACCAACCGTAAATTCCAGTAGTGACAGTTCATAGTTCGTTTGTTCGCATTGCCACTGAAGACATCGTAACGCCAATTATCCAAAGACAATGCAAAAGGCAGAAAAGCCACCTGAAAGGTACAAATAAACCAAAATATAAACTCAAGCAGCAATTCATTTTAAGATTAAAGAGTTTATTAAGACTTCAAAGTATGTGCACTGTTATTTTTAGAAGTAGTCAAAACATAAACCTTCCTGAAATAGTATTTATAGCTAAAAGTAAAATCAACTTTTATTCCTTCTCTATACGAAATATACAATTCCATTGTATAGGATCGTTCAAGCTTTGATACATGTGATTCCAATGTAACAAAGTTGCAAAACCACGTCATCGTCTTCTTTATCTAAAACTGTCTGGGTACTTGTGTTTCTTTCAGCCAGCTATCACTTTAAGGAAATGCCATGTATACTATAGAACCGTGAATCGACAAATATTATATTTATAGCTTTTTCTTTCTTTCGCTATATCTCAAAAAGTATACACAGTAAAATGTGTAAAATAATATGTACATTTCCATGTAAACATTATTTATTACCTTGTCAATTGCCATGGTAAATAGATAGTTTATATCATAGCTGGACTCGTCGAGGGACCTCTGCAGAAGTCCCAGGGTCTGTAAATGCCTGGGAGTCGATACGGAGAGGCCAATGGCGTCGCCCACAGCCTGATGAAAGGCGGGATTGGCACCATTTCTGAAGATCTTGGGCAGGTGACGGTACTGCAGGAAGTACTGAATGTGGGCCATCTCATGATGCACACTAATCAGACTCCTTTGGTTGATGTCCGTACAGATTTTCACTCGGAAATCGTGACGATTGCAAAAGTCCCAGGCGGAGGGCTCACACAATACTCGCCTGTCCAAGGGCTGCTCAAAAATGGAGTTTCGATAGAATTCTGGTCCCACGGCTGACATGTTGATCGAGGTAAAGAACTCCTCGGCCAGCTGGAACATCAACTGCGGTGTGTAGCCCTGCTCCACCATTCTCGGTGTAACATCGATGAGCTTGCGACCCGGATAGGGTATCAAAATATCCAACACATTGGACCACGACTGGCCGTACATGTTGCCCAGAATATGCGAGGGAATCGGAGCTATCCGGTTAATACGATCCGGACCATAGTAGTCCCTCAACTTCCGGCGAACGTAGGCGTGCAAGGCCTCGTAGAGGGGTCTTATCTGCTCCCACACAATATCCATATCCTGGCGGAAGTTACCCGACTCGTAACCCAGATACCAGTACTCTCCGCCATTGGTGACATCTGCAAATGAAGAGTTTTTAGTTTGAATTTTTGGTTACGATGATACCCCAACTCACTGTTCACATATGCCACCTCTTGCATTACATCGATCAACTGCTCATAGCTATCCCGCATTCCCCGTCCCGCCTTCCTGTGGTATTCCACCCAAGTGTGCTGCAACTCATCCCAATCCCTGCTCTTGGCCATGATGTCCTTCAGCTGGGGTATGTAGTGAAGGTCGCACTGGAAGGGCTGCTGGTAGGCACAGATTCCGGCGCTGTTGTACAGGAACAGCATCTCATTTAGCAGGCGATTGTACTATAAAACCATTCGATTAATTGTTTATTAAATTAAAATATTGCGAGTATATATCTTACCCTGTCCAAAACATCTAGGGGAAGGGCATTGGGTCCTACTTCCGACTGCAACATCAGTTGTCTGTAGAGGCGACGATCGAAGATCAGATCCTTATTGATCCGTTTCGATTGTTCGGCAGTGATTCGTTGGAACTCAACATATCGTTGTTGAGCGTTTAGCTGGTTAAAATATCAAAATGGTTATGAAAAAACAATTATATCACAATCCATAACACCACTTAACAACTATTAACATTAAATTTACCCCTACAGAGTTTTAAATTATTAATTGACAATATTAAGGCCTACAATCTACCCATAGTTAGTAGTAACATACGTTCAACTTGATTAGTTTTTTCATCAATCTCGCAAAATGAATACAACATTTTATCAAGATTAAGATATTTCCTATTATAGTTATCAAGATGTTTTATAACATTCAATGAAATAAAAGGTTTGTAAAGTTTTTTTTTCGTTTAATGTTTAGTTAACTTTTAAGTTGATCAAATTGTGGAATACCCGTTCGTTCGTATCAAAGAACCTTTGATATAGAACAAGAATTTTGAGTTCGCCATGCAGTAACACATTAGGCCAGCTTTATATCTCTACCTTCAAACAGCGATTAGTCCACACACAGTTTGTTTGGGAAAACTCAGAGACTTCATCGCTTTGACATTGGCATGTCTGCCTGGGAATCTGACAAGGCGATTCGACCTTCATAATGCGACTTTTCTGACTTTTCCGAGTGTGCGTGTGTAAGAAAACTACCACAGCGAACCATGGGAAAACTGCACCACCACCACCACCACCGCAAAGATCGCGTGCCGTTCAACCACAATTGCGCGATTTACTAGTACTGGTGGTTGTATTTGGCCAAAAAACGCTCACTCACCGCTTCCGTTTGGGTAAAATCATTGACGTTCGTCTCGAAATTCCACTGGGCAGCCACGTTGGCGGTGCATTCCAGAGATCCCTTCTGGTCGGACTCCACCAGCAGGATGCGCAGCTTCTCCAGTTCCTGCTGATAGCGACGATCCTGCTGGTAGCGCTGTCGTTCCAAGTAACCCTGATTCAGGTTGAACCGATCCTGGTTCGGAAGGAATGGATTCTCGAACCGATTGCGATTGTTAACGCCCACAAATTCCACATTGGGATTATTATTGTAATTGTACTGCTCGTTGGGATTGAAATTGCGCTCTCCTTGAGAGGAGTAGGGCACATCCGAGTATCGCTGATTTAGATTGGGATCGTTGCCGTAGCTGCGATCGGTGGTACTGGAAATGGGTCCGTAGTTGTGATTGGAAAACCTATTCCCACTGAAGGGTGAGTCACTGAAGTTCACTTGGGGCGAGGGATAATTATAACCGATCCTCATGCGTTCGTCATCTGTCTGGCCATACTGAAAGCGAAAGATCAACGGGCTTAGGTGGCAAGTGAACACTGGGAAATATCCTTCTAGTACCAAGAATATGCTTATTAAATTTGATTGTACCTATACTTTAAGATACTTTATTTTATATAGTTTTGTATTTATTTATTTTTGATCTACTCTTAAATTTGGTATAGGTACTGTATTCTTTTGAATACAATACAATTTGTTTGATGTATGAAACTATTTATCATTTCACATTAATAACGATTAAGCATGTATTTTATTTCGTATATATTATATTCTTGAAATGTGTAGAACTAAAAACCTCGTGGGTTTAACATTAGAAAGGTAAATTCTTGGTTCTAGATAGATTGGTTTTCAGTCGGTTCATTGTCACACCCACCCTAAAGTCGTCCAGCCCATCGTCTGTGTTGCCAGTTCTTCCCTGATCAGAGTAGGGAGGTCCATAACGCTGATCCCGATCCCGATCCGCTCGAAGTTGGGCTGGAGTGGTGGCCACATTCGGGGTGTAGCCATTGTAGAAAACCTCCGGTTGGGGGGTGGGCAGGTTCAACTGGGGACTGGCCAAACTTAAACTCAGGCCGAGGCAAAGACAACTTAAAACCGAAACACTGTACATTGCGTTTATCTCAAGATCTATATTCCACACTGCCAAGGTCGCCGTTGACAGCTTACTTATTAACTCTTTCACAAGCAATTAAGTATTTTAATTGCCAGCCACTGGCAGTGTATTTAGCACACAAGATTCTATGATTTTTTCTATATATATGTGTAAGATCTCCCTACGATCTTGGGGCTTCAAGAAAGAACTCTTGTTTTAATCTTTCCGTTTTCACTTTCACTTAGCACGCGATTTCCTTCGCTTTTTTTGTACCGCCCACGTAGCGTCCGGTTACGCGTCTAAAACTCTACTGACTAGACAGTAAGAATATTTTTCGAAATTACTTGCCACTTTTTTTCAACTCGAAAATGAATTCAAATTTGAACGCAGTCGCTGTCGCCGTTGCAGTTGACGTCGCTGTCAACTTCTCTATATATTTTGTATATTCGTGTGAGATAATCGCAATTAGCACTGCCAACGACAACAACTACAATCGCATCTTCCATAAGCCTGGGAACAACAATGAGTTGGCTTCCCAATTGTGTGAGTGAGTAGTATGTAAATGTTTTTGCCATGCATGTTGGCCATTAAAAGGGAGGGTAAGGGTGCCCCCACAAGGTATATATATGTACATTCGTGTACTTATCAGGCGAAAAGCTCAACCGCATAAAAATGGTAGACTGTGAGAAAGTACACGGCGATTGAGTGGACTCAGTTGAACTGAGTTAGAAGTTGAGACATTGACTATTGACTGCTATTTGATCAGGAACTACCATTAATTTTAAATTCCATTGCAGTTAATGCCTCCATTGCAAGAAAATAAATAACAACTATCCTTTCGAATTTTGTTTTAAACTCTTTTTCTGTAAAATAAAATGATTAATCTTTAATTTTATATGAGTAGTACTTATTTATTTGTCTAGGACCTGCACATATTCATATCATTGAAGTATTTATGTGAATAAAAGTTGAAATAAATCATATGTCTCATCAAGTATCTTCAGATTTATAAATAAATTTATTAAAGTGAACAAGTCAATGTCCCACAATCAGTAAAGGTGTTTCCGATAATCTATTTGCTAGGCCTATGACTTGAATTAAACTCGTCTTATGTTTTACTGAAACGTACTTATATTTAGCATCCACCCGCATTTGCGCTGTTTCCATTGTTGCTCTTGACCCAGAGAAATGTTGCAAATATCTTGACTCATGCCGGCAAATACTAAAAGCAGGTGTAGCTGATGGGGCTGCAGTACAAGTCACATTTTCAACACCGGTTAATGGGCAGAAACTAGTGAGTTCTAATGGCTGTACAGCTTTAAATTTGATTTACTACCCATTATACTAATAGGAATTGTAACCCCCAATGCAAAGTTTTTACAAAATAACACTATTAGCTCCATGAATTAAATTATACCTGAACCTTAGGGGTATGGTTTTATTCAAAAACAAATACTTTAGGGACAAGTCATAGAAGTACATTTTATTACGAGTAATTTCATATACATGAGGAACACGTGCAATTAAAATGCAAGACATCAAGTTCTGATTCTTTCCACCCTCGCTTGTGGAATGTGCAATTCTTACACTCGATCTTGACCCGGCGACATGTGAAAAAGTTGTGACTCATGTGAATGTGAATGATTACTGTAGAAGATCGAGATGGGATATGGGGAGAGAACTATCCCCAAAGGTGTTAACTGGGGTTGTATGACTCTCCACCCCGATGAATCGAATGACTTGGCATGCTGATTGATAGCTTGATTGCCAATCTGCTGGCATACAAATGAGAGTGCATATAGTATAGTAAAGTGTAGAGATATGTGATTCAAGCAGTAATTAGATTGGGATCTGTCAAGTCTATCTCGGATATGAGCTCATAAATATTAGACGTTTTATGATGCGGTTGGCTGATCCGTGATTTTGTACCTGGAACTGATCCCTCCAAAACAAAATTCATATTTTGGCCAAAAAGCTAATTACCAGTCAAGGTCAGCTTGGGTTTAACGGGCATTGGGCTATATTAATTCTTATACTATATAACTAATTCTGGACTGCTTAGAACCGTGGGAAAATAGCGCCAAGTGCCTGTAAGTAATTAATTTACACGAGTGAATAGTTTGAGTAAGTCAATACGCCCTGCAAATCGCTAACCGCTTAGCATGACGCACATTAAGCACGTATTGTGGATACTTTTTATTTTCATTTGTATTTTCTAACTATAGCTATTTGCATGGTTTTAATAAGTGGCTATAGAGTGAAGAGCCAGCGAGAGTCATTATTATCAAGTGCATTTTAATTATAGGGCTCAGCTTATGTTTTGCATTTGGTTTGGATTATTTCCGGTTATTTAATGCAAACAATGCTGTCACTGTACACAAGTTAATCATCATTAAGAAGGCGTTGACTGATTGAGAACAAATGAAAACCCACCGGACTGTGAATCTTAGTATCCCAAATTCACTTCCCCTAAGTAATTCAAGGACTTTAGAAGTATTTTTACATTTCCTTGTGATTTTTGCATATTATTTTCATGAAATAGATAGACTTTGAAACTGTTTTGCTCACTTAATATGAAAAAATATATAAGATTGCTTTTTTTAGTATACAGTTTTCACTTACAAATATATCAATGAATTCCATTTTGATCTTATCTCACTTATGCTATCTGTGAGAAGTTTTTAAAAACAAATTAGCTAAACATTTTATGACCTTGAATTTTTATTGTTTCGCCAAAATCCTCTAATAGCTGTCGTTGGTGCTCGTACTACTGCCTATTGCTTGATTTTCTGGGGCCTCTTTATTCGGATCGGGCTTAATGTGAAAGTTGGTATAGCCGTACCGATCGCGTTCCTTCTGAGAACTGAACTCGACCTTCTCGATGTTGGAAAGCGGACTGCCCGTGGTCCTGAGCCACTCCTTCATCACGTTCATCTCGGCGGGTCGTCCCTCGATGTAGCCCTTCACGGTGCCCCTGCCGGAGTTCATGCACCATCCCCGGAGACCCAGGGTCTTGGCCTTCCGCAGCGCATGCCTCCGGAAATTGACGCCCTGCACCTTGCCGAATACCTCGAATTGGCAGGAATGAACACCCTGGGCCGCCATAGTGCCAGGGAACACACTATAAAGGGACTTTTGGCGGAAACAAAAGGGCTATAATTTTGGTTAATATCTACATTTGCGTTACAAAATACATTTTGACATAAAATTAAAAGTACATATATACGAAGGTGAATATGGAAAAAATAATAAATATATTTTATGACGTCTTATATATTTACTCTCCATATTGGATTTTCTAAGCTCTAGTTTTAAACTCCTGTACTGCTAACATCGCCTCTTCTAATTTAATCTCAATCATTTTTTTTTTCTTTAAAAGACTGTTTTTGAAGTGAAGTGGGGGAATGGAAGAAGGGCAAGGAGCTAGAACTAGATGAACTAGATGATGAACTTAATTGCGTATCGATTAATTTGGTGTCCACTATTTCAAATTGCCTATGATTGGGTCCTGTTTTGCGGATTCAAATTTTCCATTTATCTTTTTAAAAAGTTGCGACCCTTTCCTTTTTTCTCCTATTTTTTATATTATCCATTCTCGTTGTTCTCTGTTCCTACACTTTTATCAAGCTCAAAAATGCAATATTTTTTAATCAAGGCGCCATGTGTTCTTCCTCTTCATGAACATGAGTCATAATTTTCCATGACTTTGACGTGTATTTTACATGTAGAAACAAAAATTGTTGTCGCTTTTTACGGCATACTTTTGGGATGATAAATACATAAGATTAACACATATATTAGAGTAAATATTTTATCTTCTTATCCTAAATATCAAAAAAAATGTCACAGTTTGTTTCGTGCATTAGATCTGTGTTATAGATGGATATAATCGCTTCGATGTACCACCAAAAGAATATTTCAAAATATTTCCTGGACACAATTTATTTCCAACCCACTTCCAGGTCATTCTGTTGATTTTGCTGCTGCAACCAATCTTGTAGGGGTTTAAAGTAGGTCAGCAAGCCATCTATGCTGATCTCGGGCTCACCAACTAGTTCCTGAAGTACCTGTCTGTAGTGAACCGAAGAGCCCAGCGACATGCCTTTAAGGAGAATCCCTCCTATGCCTCGCTGATCGGAAAGATCGCACAAATCTAAAGGCATCCTCGGATTTCCATTTTCAAACTGTCCTGACTCGGTGCAAAAGTTGTTTAACAGCTGGAATTGCAGAACAATGCTTAGAAAGTGGCTGGAAGTAGTGGGGATAATTTAATTTGAATAGAATTATATAGTATTTTATTTTCCCACCTGGCATACTGATCATCTACCTCCATGAGAAGTTTGGCCGGAACATCGAACTGATCGTTGTTCCTCTTCGTTGGAGCCGCCGCTCCTGTATAATACTCCGTAAGTCGCCAATAGGCCTCATTGTCATCCGCCTTGATGTGTCCAGCCAGGACTTCCACTCGATAGCGATCCAGGACATAGAAAACGGGCAGGAGGAACACAACCCTTAGGCCCTGAACATACAATCGATTGAGACGAGCAGGCAACTCCTTCCACTTGGCATCCCTTAGTAGCCCAAGTTTTCTGAGGAACCGCGGTGAACTAGCTGCCATGGAGAAACACTTGCCAATGGCATCACTGAAATTGGGAAAGGGCTCCTCTTGGAGTAAGGTTGGCTGCTCTGAGGCAGCTCTATAATAGTGTAAGTCCGAGTGGGCCTCAAACATGTTGAAGAAACGCTCCTCGTCATTCAGAGGACAGTAGGTAAAGTTGGTCCTGGGCAGGGCATAATACCGCCAGGCTTTGTGCCAACAGCGATCGTCGTCATCGGAGGCTACCTTCTGGGCATAAGTCCAAAGGGATCTGCAATGGCAACGGATTATTATTATAATACCTTCAGATGATTTCATAACCTACTCCTCCAGCTGGGGCAGACCAAGGGCTCTGTAGTACTCGGCCACATTCCAGAAAACCCTTTGAGTGGTACTCAATCCCCGACGATGCAGCTCCTGGGTAATATTGGCCAAGCCCGTCTCCGGCGAAGGTAGATCCACATACCATTCAGCCTGCACCCTTCTGAAGGCATTACCAATGAAGACCTCTGCCAAATGCTGGGGATAGGGTCGATTCCTGGGCACCAGCTCCTCCCCGTGCATCTTCCTCAGCGATCCCCTGACATGGGCGTGGAACTGCAGAAACAAAGGCCTTAAGCCATGCATTATTTTATCCAGCAGAGCCATGGTTTCCTGACCATCCAATTCCAGGGATCGAAACCAGTAGTCCTCGGCGCGAGGATATCCATTCAGCTGGGCGGTCTTTTTATAAAGATCCATAAACTCCACAAACTGAGATCTGGTGGCCAAACCAGTGCGCCTTCGCCACTCGAACCAGTAATATTCGATCTCGTCCAGATCTTGGCTTCCTTGAACTATCGATTGGACCTCTGGTATGAGTCTCAAAGTGCAATTATCCGGCTGTTTGTAAGCACACAGCTTGACATTATGGTAATTGTCGCTCATGTTGGAGGCCAGTGCGTAGACTCGCTTTAAATCTCTGTCGTTCAGAGCGTCGTATCCCAGTTGGGGAAACTTGGAGAGTAATCTCCGCTGTCGCGAGTCTCCCAGTCCCAAGCGCTTGAACTTGGCCTTGCGGGTCGTCAGGGTCCTGACATATTTTAGAAGCTTTTCGTCAGTGACCTCGATCTCCAGGAGAGCCACCAAGTCATTGGGTCCGTGCAACTCATTCAGCAACTGAGCCAGAACAGCCTGATCATAAATAACAGCGAGTTGTTGATTGGTTTCATTTAAAAATCTACCCAATGTTTCATCGGGCGGTGATTTAGCCTGGGTAAACCCCACCAGAAGCTGAAAATTAAGGAAATTCAGGAAAGTTGACAAGACAATTTAATCAATTTGACTCACCAAAACCGCTGAGCCTATCCACATGTTCCCACACTTTCTGTTAAATTCACTTTCGCAACTCAATTTATTAGCTCATTAAAATGCCCGGCACTTTTACCCAGCCTGATCATCAAACGTTCTGCGCATGCGCAGCACTCGAAGTCAACTGACTTGGGCCAACGACAATCCGTGGTCAGTGAAGCAAGTCGGTGGTTTACTGGGCGCCCAGCTGGCCATTTGTAATTATAATGTGTTCCACTTAGCAAACACAACAACGAGTTCACTCAGTAATCTAGACACTCTACAACTCGTTCATACTGACAATTATGTCCAGCACTCGAATTTTATGGTATTTTTTCCTATTTCTTAAAAATTAGCAAACCAAGATAATATTTTACTTGTTTTTTAACCATAAATGTAAACGGAGTAGAACTTATAGAACATTAATGTGGCTTAAAAAAATATTTTTTTTGAGTATGTTACCATATTTATTGTGTCCAGTGTACTTTCTCAAGATTAATAAAGATTTTCTTTGTATTTTCAATATTATACATTTTTAACTACTGAATAAAGTAGGGCTTTGTGAAACTTTATTGAGCATAAAACTGTGTAACAATACAAAAATCATTTCATTTAAGAAGCCACGCATTCTGAAATAGGGAAACAATATATTTTAACAGGGTTTCTTGATTTATAAAGAGAGGACAACTTACTATCTGACGAGGTCCAGCCGATGTGGACATTGTTCTTGATGTTCTCAGCCTCCAGCCAAACGCGAAGGGGCTCGAAGTATTCAGCTATGGGCTTTCCGGACATGATGCGCTCTCCGTTGAAGGCTTCCAGTGCATCGGGCCAGGGTTTCGAGGCGCCCATGGACAACATGTTACTAGAGTTATAGGTTAAATATTAGAATATACTTATTTATAGTATAATATTTTAAGACTTACTGGAAAGCTGCTCCAACCTCAGCATTGCCATAGAAATCGCAGTTATCTAGTAGAAGCTCAGCATTGTTGGAATCATATTGGCCAGCTTTGATGCAAGCGGACTTGTAGAATTGGAACTGAATGATAAAGGAGACCAGGTACCTAAGGGATATTACCAACATAAATCAAACGCTTAAGTAAGAAAAACACCAATCATATACTACCAACCTAAGGTACTCGACATCAGCGGATACGTGATACTTGGCCGGGGCATCGAAATCCTTCTCGCTTCGCACTACAGGTGGCTCAATGCCGGAGTATTCGTCTCTTAACTTCCAGAAGGCGCAGTTCCAGTTGGCCTTGTCCACTTCTCCGCGGAACAGCGACCAGCGATACTTGTCCATGGTGAAGGCAAAGGGCAGGAATACGATCTTGTCCAGGGCGGCGAGGAATAACTGGTTAATGCGGGATTCCTCGTCGCGAACATAGTTCTTAAGTAAACCGATCTTCTCAAGATGCTTGGGGGTTGAAACGGACAGGGCAAGGACATCGCCAACGGCCTCATGGAATCCAGGATTGGCTCCAGTGCGGTATACGGACGGCTGGTGCTGGTACTGGAGGAAATACTGAATGTGTCCCAGTTCATGGTGTATGGTGAACAGCTGATCCTGGAGAACAAGGGTGCACTGCTTGCTGCGCACATCATCGATGAGGTAAAAGTCCCAGGCACTGGCGTGGCAAACGATATCACGGCCATCGGTGGGCTTCTCAATGATCGACTTGTCCCAAAAGCTCCTGTAAAAATAAAAAGAATAGTCCAACATTTTTCGTTAAGATCTAAAGCTCTACATACTGCGGCAACTTGGTGAGGTTCATGGAGGTAAAAAAATCGTCTGCGATCTGGAACATTTTAAGGGCTGTGTAGCCTTGCTTCTGCATCTCGTGACTGATATCAACCGTGGGTTTCTCGGGAAATGGTGATACAATGTCCGCGATCTCCGACCATTGCTGAGCCCACATGTTGCCCAAAAGGTGCATGGGAATGGGTCCCGTTTCGGAGACCACAGATTCGCCATAGTGTTTCCGGAGGCGGTACCTCACATAGCCATGGATCTGTAGGTAGAGCGGTCGAATCTCGGCAAAAATGTCCTCCAGTTGCTGCTCGAAGGTTTCATCCTCGTACTCAGACAGCCACGTTTCGGCGCCTGACGTGAAATCTGGTGGGAACGAGAATTTTCTAATTGAAAACTTACAATAAAAACCTTGGATCTGCTAACTAAAATAAAATACGATTTCTTTATTGCTAACAGTAATTATAACCATAGCTTAGATGACGAAAGGGCTATGTATGACGAATTGCACTGCACTTATATTAATAATAGGTACAGTACTAGGTTTTTCGAAAATTTGAACATCATTTATATTTGTAAGATCTTTTTTGGAATATAATTTTTAGAAAGTACTTTGAAATATACAATATTTTCCTTGTAAAAATGTAGAACATAAATGATTGCCATAGTCGTGTACATAGTCGTTACTCAGCTAAAGGGACCCAAGGGAGTTGGAGAAATGCTAGCAGCAAAGCGTTATTGCAATGTGCCACCTACCCGCGATCTCAATATATGGTTATGTGGGCGGCAGACAGATTTAAGCGTTATGGACGTTAGAGTGGGGTGGCAAACTTTTTTGGGTCAATCGATAGGTATTGATGAGAACCATACATTTCAGTTTTGGGCAGCTTGTGGGCGTTAGAGTGGGCGTATCACAATGACGAAACAAACTTGCGCTGCGCAGCAATCTCTAGAATCAGCATGCCTAATCCCAGTATGGCAGCTTTTATAGTTTCCGAGATCACAGCGCTTATACGGACAGACGGACATGGCTAGATCAACTCGGCTAGTGATCCTAATCAAGAATATATATACTTTATGGGATAGGAAACAATTGCTTCCACCTTTTAAATACTTTCCGACGAATCTAGTATAAACTTTTACTCTACGAGTAACGGGTATAACAACAAATTTATATCTGTTTAGTTTCATGTCACCTTAATTGTTGTATGGCAGAAATGGATTCTTTCTGTTAACCAAAAAATGACTTCAAAACAAGTAATACGGTACTAGGAATCTAATTTCCATTTACCTATTAGGTATTAATGCGCAAAGCTTTATCCCTCTCTGAACTTTTTGATAAATGGCTTTAAGGTTTATCCACTTACTGTTCAATTTGGCTGCCTTGGTGCTAAGCTCCACGTACCGCTCGAATTGGGATCGCATGGGGGTTCCGGCCTTGTCGTAGAACTCGCGCCAGAAGTAGGCTAGCTTTTCGTGGTCACGGCTCTTGCTGATGACCTCCTCGATCTCCGGTTCGAGCGCCAGGTCGCACTTGGACTTGTCCTTGTAGTCGCAGACCTTAACCTTGGCGTAGTTCGTCTCCATGGCGGAGATTGATTGGAGTAATTCCGTGAAATCGGCTTCGGGGAGAGCGGCATATCCCAATTTGTTGAAGGCTTTGAACTGACGCTTGAGGTCCTCTGACTGGAAGGAGCGCCATTGGAACTTGGCCGTGTCTCCGGCCACCTCCTTCTTGAACTTGGCCAACTCGGCGGAGACTTCGATCTTTTTCTTCGCGTTCTCGGCGGTGACGTTGGAACCATAGGCCCAAGCCGCCTCTGTTGCGACATTGGTCCGCTTGGCCAGCTCCTTGTTCAGATTCTCCAGGTACTCCTTGGCCTCGATCTCCTCCTTGACTAACGCTTGGGACACCGCCAAAGTGGCCAGCAGTACCACCAGAAGCAGTCTCATATTGAGTTCGGGCTTCCCCACCTTAAAATATAGTAAACACTTCTGAATTTGGATTACTCTGGCTCAGTTCTACGACATCATATTATGCCAGTTTTGATGACGTATCTAACTTTCAAGCGTGTTGCGGATGAAATCTCTCGATTAATAAATTGATTAAAATGTCTGGTTTTCGAATGACTCCGGGGCAGATCGAAGTCTACCATATACATATGTGTTTTTAAAATAGAATATTATAAAGCGTAAAGCTTATCACATGCGGCGTGCATTGCATGATTCAAATAAGATTATCAACGGATTATGGTGACTGTTGGAATCAAACGTTGTGTATATTGATAGTTCGCAAATAAATTTAATCAGAAAATAAACATATTATGTAAGCCATAAGTTCTACGATTAAAGGTTAATAACCTTAACTTACACTAATTTACAAAATAGTATTTTCGAAATGCTCCAAAAAGGATAATGGTAGTTCCTGGTAGAGTTACACCCCTAAATCACAAAAAAGAAGTCAGAGCATTTTTTTGGAAAAGTTATTTTTAAAAGATTTTTAAAGAAAAGTTGCGCCTAACCAATTCAGGTGATATATGTTTTATTTTTCAACTATAATGTGATACTTTAATTTTGCCGAATAAATGAATAGGCTACATTGAGTATATGGTGAGCTTAAACTCGGCAAACTTTGAAATCAAAACTCAAAAAAAATTCCACGTTTTCAAAGTTTGCCGAATTGTAGATCGATTTTTTTTGAGATCAAAAGTTTCAACTCTACCAGGAAACAACATAATCCTTCTTGGAGATTTTTGGTTGTAAGCTAGTGTTATTTACAAAAGGAACTTACGTTGCGATCGATGATATTATTCCAATGTATGTGACCGGTTCGCCAGCGGTCTGAACTAAAACTGAGAACGGTTGAGAAGATTGCTTGATTTTTATAGGAAACAGCAGAGAGGGCGCTGGAGAATCGGTCGACATTTATTGATAATACAAAATATAGATTTTCTCGTGGTATTACTCATCTCGTTTAGTTAATCTGCAAAAATGATTATGCATTTGTTAAATAATTTAATTTAAAATTTTTTTGTAAAATGTTAAATTCTTTTCAGTGCTTTTCTTAAGGTTTTATTCCCATACCGAAAAACTTTAGGGATTTCATGATGTTTTTAAGGAAATCAAATTCGACAAATTAATCTCCAGGGACGCACATAGAAAATTGTTTAACGATAACAGATCTAATTTTTATACATTTATGGTAACTTAAATACAGAGATTAGTAGCGTTTAACAAAGCCAGTGATTTTATATCTGTACATTCCTTTTAAGTAAACTATTTTACCCTTATTTTAAAAAAACAAGATGTATTGATATTAGTTATAAGTAATAATTATCCTTAACAGTTTTGGCATAGTATGCCAATCAGGGAGTCCAATATTTATTATTAATGTGAGATCGGCTTGGTTGCTCAGGTTTCAAGACGATTAGAGGATCTCGAATCGAAGATAAGAAACTTATGGAAGATCACTGATGTGCGTGATACATTTTCTAGCGCTTAAAGCAGGGACTCGAATTTTAGTATCGCCATCTAGGGTTAGGTAGTAGAGTTTCAATAGGCAAACGAGCGGTCTCTTTGTTTGGATATCAGTACTATTATTTGAGTGGCGCCGAGTATGTAACGTAACGTAATCAATTTTGGATAAAGTCGAATTCCGGTGTAGACGACGGATTCGAATTAGTTGGAGCAAATTCAAATAAAACAAGAGAGAACAGATTTGGGCGGTTTAGGTGCGTTAAAGTGGGCGTGGCATCTTCGCGTAACAAACTTGCACTGCGTACAAGGCTACGGTATCAAAATCTGAAATCCCAATTCTCTATCTTCTATTGTTTTTGAGATATCCGCCTTCAAAGTTACGATTTTTTGAAGTTTGTGGACGGCTTGTGGGCGTTAAAGTGGGCGTGGCACTAATTATCTCACTAATTAATCGATAGGTATTGATGAGGACAATTTATTTCAGTTAAAATTTTTATTCTAACATCAAAACTGTAGGAGCCACAGTTTTGGGCTGCGTAAGAAGCTCAGGAATCTGCATACCAGTTCATCATCATCGTTCATCCGGACGGACGGACAGACGGACATGGCTCAATCGACTCGGCTAGTGATCCTGATCATGAATATATATACTTTATGAGGTCGGAAAAGCTTCCTTCTGCCTGTTATTTACTTTCCGACGAATTTAGTTTACCCTTTTACTCTAAGAGTAACGGGTATAACGAGGTGCATTTAAAAATCCGTTCCAAAAGCGAACTTTGCCACATCAATGCGGCAAATTCAATGTCGCGTTATCTGTTTGAAAATACCCAATTATATATGTATGTTTTAATATGTTTATATGTCCGTGGGAACGCTGTGATCTCCGAGTCTCGGAAACTATAAGAGCTATAGGGATGTGATTTTAGAATTATATTCCTTATCTTCGTATGTGGCTCCTACAGTTTTCATGATAGAAACAAATTTTAATTGAAATGTATTGTTCTCGTCAATACCTATCGATTGACCTCCTACAAACGCCCATAATGCTTAAATCTTCGCTGCTTGCATATATCCATCTCCCTTTTGTTTCCTTCAGTTGAGTAGTGGGTATCTGATAGTCGAGGCACTCCACTATAGCGTTCTTCCTTATTTCATTTTCTGAAAATCGGAAAGCTCTGTAAATACATTGCTTCCATAGGAAGAACCTGCAAGGGTATATAAACTTTGCCACGCTAATTGCAGCACCCACATTCTCGAAGTGGCATGGCATTGGCATGGCAAAATATTTTCAAATCCGTTATAACTATGATAATAAGGGTTTTCGCCTATAGCGTCCCTCAAGCTTTAGTTTTATTATTAGGAAGTTTTTACATTGTTGCTTGTGCCAACATTTTGGTTTGATTTGAACCCAAAGTAATAGTGGTGTATTGGTACAACTTTTGTAATTTTATATAAAACAAGTACCCTTTAAGTAAATAGCTGTTTTTAAGATAAGGAAACCAGTAAAGAATTGGGAAACTTTATTGAGCAAAAACTGTGTGGTAACACGGAAATCATTTCAGTTAAGAAGATACACACTCTGAAATAGAAAAAAACATTTAATCAGGGTCTCATTGTTATTTATGGAGGGCCAACTTACTATCTGAAGTGGTCCAGCCAATGTGGACATTGTTCTTGATGTTCTCGGCCTCCAGCCAAACGCGCAGGGGCTCAAAGTATTCGGCTATGGCCTTTCCGGACATGATGCGCTCTCCGTTAAAGGCTTCCAGTGCATCGGGCCAGGGTTTCGAGGCGCCCATGGACAGCATGTTGCTAAGGGTTTAAATATCAGAACGTATAAAATAATGCAGAGGAAATTACATTTTGTTGACTTACTGGAAAGCAGCTCCAGCCGCAGCACTGCCATAGATATCGCAGTTATCCAGAGGCAGCTCAGCATTGTTGGCATCGTATTGGCCAGCCTTGATGCAGGCGGACTTGTAGAATTGGAACTGAATGATGAAGGAGACCAGGTACCTGAAGGATATTACCAAAATAAATCAAACGCTTAAGTAAGAAAAACACCAATATGATTATATACTACCAACCTAAGGTACTCGACATCAGCGGATACGTGGTACTTGGCCGGGGCATCGAAATCCTTCTCGCTTCGCACTACAGGTGGCTCAATTCCGGAGTATTCGTCCCTCAACTTCCAGAAGGCGCAGTTCCAGTTGGCCTTGTCCACTTCTCCGCGGAACAGCGACCAGCGATACTTGTCCATGGTGAAGGCGAAGGGCAGAAATACGATCTTGTCCAGAGCGGTGAGGAACAGCTGGTTGATGCGGGCCTCATCGTCGCGAACATAGTTCTTCAACAGACCAATCTTTTCAAGATGCTTGGGGGTGGAAACGGACAAGGAAAGGACATCCCCGACGGCCTCATGGAATCCAGGATTGGCACCAGTGCGGTATACGAACGGCTGGTGCTGGTACTGGAGGAAATACTGAATGTGTCCGAGTTCATGGTGGACGGTGAAGAGCTGATCCTGGGTAACCCGGGTGCACTGCTTGATGCGCACATCATCGGTGAGGTAAAAGTCCCAGGCACTGGCGTGGCAAACTAGATCACGGCCATCGGTGGGCTTCTCAATGATCGACTTGTCCCAGAAGTCCCTAAAAAAATTAGAATTAAAATTTATTTGATTTATTTCACTATAAAGCTTGAAGCAAAAATATAACAAATTTCACATATAAGTGACTTTCTACCACTCTAAATGTGTAAGTGAACTCTGGAATTTGGAAGTAAACAAAACTAAACCATTTTAGTTTCTTCCTAAAATTGGACCAATATCGCTAGCGATGTCGATCAATGGTACATGTTCAAGGAACATTGTTCATACATCGCATTTACAAACTCCTGATTAGGTAAGGTAAGGTAAGAACATATTATGGCCCTGAGAGTTTCTGTGGTAAGACCACGGTCTTAATACGACTTTGCATGGTTAAGGACTAGCAGCTCCTCGAAGGAACTTGAGTTCAGTAGGAACACTCTAATATTAATTTGTAACTTCGTATATGAATTATAAGGTAATATTGGATTATAAATCTCTACTTACTGCGGCAACTTGGTGAGGTTCATGGAGGTAAAGAAGTCGTCGCCCATCTGGAACATTTTGAGGGCGGTGTATCCCTGCTTCTCCATCTCTTCACTGACATCGACCAGGGGCTTCTCGGGGAAGGGTGATACAATGTCCGCGATCTCCGACCACTGCTGCGCCCACATGTTGCCCAAAAGGTGCATGGGGATGGGTCCTGTTTCGGACACCACCGACTCGCCATAGTGTTTGCGCAGGCGGAAGCGCACATAGCCATGGATCTGTTGGTAGAGGGGTCGAATCTCGGCGAAGATGTCCTCCAGTTGCTGCTCAAAGGTCTCGTCCTCGTACTCATCCAGCCAAGCCTCGGCACCAGAGGTGAAGTCTGTTAAAAAAATGTGGTAATTATAGAAAATTTATGTTTGTTTAAAGTATTTCTAAGTTACTTCAAAGTTTTTTTATACACGTAATTATATTCATCTCTCAGATGGCAAATGCACTTTTCGTCTATACTTTTTTGGATGATTACATTTGACAAAAACTAAACAGCCATTAGTTATTCTAAGCGAACGACAACATGCACTGCAATTATACATACCACCCTACAGAAGGTATTATTATTAACGGAGTATTTAAATATAACATCACGTAAGCAATTTGAACGTTATTAAAAAAGTTATGATGGGAATATAATTTTTTGGAAGTACTATAAAACCTATTACCGCTTTAATGAATGGTTTACAAATGTATCCACTTACTGTTCAGTTTGGCTGCCTTGGTGTTGAGCTCCACGTAGCGCTCGAACTGGGATCGCACGGCGGTACCGGCCTTGTCGTAGAACTCGCGCCAGTAGTGGGTTAGCTCCTCGTGGTCACGGCTCTTGCTGATGACCTCCTCGATATCCGGATCAAGGGCCAGGTCGCACTTGGTGTTGTCCTTGTAGTCGCAGACCTTAACCTTGGCGAAATTCGACTCCATGGAGGAGAGCGTTTCGAGTAGTTCGGCGTAATCGGCTTCCGGGAGTGCAGCATACCCCAACTTGGTCAAGGCTTTGAACTGACGCTTGAGGTCCTCCGACTGGAAGGAGCGCCATTGGAACTTGGCGGTGTCACTGGCCACCTCCTTCATGAACTTGGCCAGCTCGGCGGAGATTTCGTTCTTTTTCTTCTCGTTCTCATCCGTGATGTTGGAGCCGTAGGCCCAGGCCGCCTCCGTTTCGACATTGGTCCGCTTGGCCAGCTCTTTGTTCAGATTCTGCAGGTACTCCTTGGCCTGAATCTCCTCCTTGACCAACGCTTGGGACACCGCCAGAGTGGCCAGCAGTACCACCAGAA